TTTGTTATGATTTTCAAACTAAAGAAAAAAGATAAAATATATTTAAAAGGGAAATAAGGGTGTAGATGTTAGAATGGCATCATTGACTTGAGTAAACCAAATATGGCAAAAATAAAGTTTCATCTAGTGATTATTACAAAAGTGATGACATACGAATTAATTGGTCAAATCAAGATCTATAAAAATAAATAAAATTTTAATTTAATAAAAAATAATTTTGAAACTTAAAATCACACAAAAGATCAGTAAATTAAGTAAAAATAAGTTAAAAGTAGAAAAAATAGGGTTCTTGCTTTGTAATAGTGATTGTTGAAATTTTTGTGTGTTTGAGAGAATTATCAAATAATATTTATGACTTTAAAGGTTCTCCTTAGACATGAACAACCTAAGAATTCTTTAGATCTCCTTTTAAAATACAAGAAATGATGATGAAAGTTAAACTAGTTAAAATTAGTAAAATAGAATTTCAACATTATGGCGATGGTGCATCAGAATTTTGAGTGTTTAGAAGAGACTATTGTGTGTCCACAACCTCAAAGACTTTCCTTAAATATGAACGACGTGAATAATCTCAAGATCTTCTTACAATGTCTAGAAATTAATAAGGTGGGTTGGCGAATCATCTTTAGCAATTGTCATCTAGCAGAGTGAAAAAATGACGACTTTACAAATCTCTAGTGGCTATCACTCGACAAAAATAAATTAAATAGAGGTAGGATATATCTTAAGAAAGTTTATTTTCAAGTATGTGCAACAAGAATAGACTCTTCATCACATCTGGTATATTCTTAAGAGGTGGCGGCTAGTCTTCCAAAAGATTGTCTTTTTTACAATGATGATTAATTTATTAATCAATAAGAGATAATTTATTCAATAGATTCATAACCTTTTTATATAATCATTTATTCATTTTAATAATAATTCTTTATAATTATGTTGACAAGATTTTCATTGATGATTATGTGATAATAGTTCCACATTAGTTATTTTTTAAGTTTTGAGATAGATATATAGTTACAAGATTATGTGATTAATAAACCTCTTTTTTGCCTATGTATGACAACTCCTTGCCTAATGCTTAATTGACCACTAGTGATGTGGAAGGAGAGTGATTCACACTTGTTCCCTACAAATCGTTCATTGCTTGAGCCCTCTACTCACGGTGGGTCATCCTTTTTTATATTTATATTTTATTTTATTTATCTTTATTTATTTCAATAATATAATTATATAAATTCATATAAAATTACATATTTAGCCAAAAATTCATATTAACTAATTAAAAAGTACTTTTCATAATTTAACATAAATAAAAATCTATTTATTGTGAGTTAAAGCTTAAACTATATTATTAATTAATTATTAACTTATGATAATGAAGACTTATCAATGGCCCTCTAAATAGAAAACATCATATTCCATCTAAAATCACCGAGTTTCTCTTGTCTCAGTCTATTATATGAGGTGCATAACTATTGAGTCTATACCATAGGCTTCTCATATGATATCAAAAAGATCACTATACTTGTTGAGAGGACAACCATGCCATTAGTGAGCTCTCTACAACTCAAGACATTTGCAATAACATTAGCACATCCCGAAGGAAAGTGGAGCCCGACTTGAGCAACCTTAGTGATAACTCATATTTTGTCAACAATCTTATTGCAACATGTGTTTGGGGGTCAGCTTCTTTAGGGAGTTGAAGTAGCTTGTAGTGACATTGTTGGTCTAGACAATAGAAGTGTTGCCCAATAAATAGTGGCACCACACCTATAAGTAGTGAACAACTACTATCATTTCCTTATCATAGATTGAGTATTGTTGTTCTATATCATTTTATTTTTTTCTTTCAAAAGTAAGGGGTTGGCCATTCTACATGGAAACTCTACCAATAGCTATTTCCGAAGTATTAGTGTGTACCTAAAAGGCTTTGGCAAAATCAAGCATAGAAAATTAGTTTATCAATGATGACCATTTGCAAATTGTCAAGCATATGTTGGTACTTCTTAGTCCATGCCCATCTTTGATCCTTTTCTAAGAGCTCCATCATTGATGCGACTAATTGTGAGAAGCCTTTTATGAATGTTTGATAGTAGTGAGCAAGCTTAAAAAAATGACCTTAATTCAAATACTCTCTTAGGCATCAACCATTAATTGATTATGATCACTTTTTTTCAATCCATTTAAATCTACCCACGTCCCACCATGTAGCCAAGGAATTAAGCCTCATAAAAGGTGAAATCACAAATTTTCAGGTTGAGTTGTAACTAACTTGCCTACAGTGTCTCCATCACCTATCTTAGGTGTGCCAAATTCTCCTATATACAATGATTGTACACCAAATATCATCCAAGTATACCACCATAATCTTATTAAAAAATAGTCAAGAGTATATGATTTATCATGATACAAAAAGTGACTGGAGTATTTTTTAGTTCAAAAGGTATCATAGTAAATTTGTAAGACCCATAATGTGTAATACACAGTTTTATGCTTGTCCTCTTCCTTGGTTTGGATTTAGTGATATCTTCTCTTCAAGTTCAACTTAGATAAAATCTATACCTTACTTAATTGATCAAACAAATCTTTCATATTAGACATTGGGTGTTTATTCTTCATTTTTTTTTAATTTGGGGCCTTGTAATCCACACACAAACTTAAAGATTTATTCTTTTTTTTATTGAAAAAGCACAAATTCACCAAATGATCTATGAGAGGAACGAATGTGTCCTACTTGCAACAATTCCTTTAGTTGTTTTCTTAACTCCTCCAAGTATACTAGAGGCCTCTTGTATGAGGCTCGAGTAGAAGGTCATTATTTTGGAGGAAGCTTAATTGAGTGCTCAATCTCTCATCTTAGGGGGATCTTGACAGATAAATTTTTAGGCATAATGTCTTTAAAATATTTAAGTAAATATAGTACCTATAGGTGACATACCAAGCTCCTCTATTCACCTTCCTCTACTTCCCCGGGTATCACAAGAAAAATGTCCACATCTCACCGAGAATCCACCATATTGCATAGTTGAGATCAGCTGTTGCTCTGCTCTTTGTTGTGCCAACCTTACATGAAGTTCGTCTACTCACTTCCACAAATAATTAACCAAATATAGTGGAGAAAAATCCCAACCTTGCCTTGACCACAAAGTTACTGCCCAATATGACATTGAAGTCATCCATCTCTAGGACTACATGCACCAACTTGGGGTTTCTACTTGGCGTGCCAAGCCAAAAAAGGGATCAGCCTCTGGGTTGAGACGAGCCCTCACCATGTGTATGTTTGTATAGTCCAGAAAATGAGTGCTCAATGGAATGCTTGATCTCTCATCTACGGGAAAGTTTGGCAAGTAATTTTTAGTCATAGTGTCTTTGAAATCTTTAAGTAAATGTAGTAACTACAGGTGACATATCAAGCTCCTTGTGTTCACCTTATTCCACTTCCTGTAGTGTCATGAGAAGAGTGTCCACATCCTGTCGACAATCTACCTTGACTTACATAGTTGAGACCACCTAAAGCTTGCTCTCTCTTGCACTGATCTCTACACAACTGCTCACCTCCACAAATAATTAGTTTATTGTAGTAGAGGAAAATCTCGACCTTGGCTTGACCTCAAAGTCAACACCAAAGATGACGTCAAAGTCATCCATCTATAAGATCAAGAAGTCGAGAGTGTCTTACCACGTGCCAACTTCAGTTTCCTCGTGGTGTGTGGACCTAACATGACCTTTTGCCTCAGTTCGTGACCTTGACTATGTTATTGGTTTGGACCAGTTTTAACCCTCAATCACCAGCGGATGTTGCTCCTGTGCCAGCACTTGATTGAGACGAGCCCTTGTCATTTGGTTGTTTGTTTGATTTGGATAGTCGATGCTCTTTTGAGGGCCGCCACAAACATGACACCCTATCCACCATGGTCCCTCGAGCTGGCGGAGTGCACCTCCACTTGAGGCTCCCTAGTCCCTACCAGCTTGTTCTCCTCTTCCCACACCTTGTGAGTTTGAGTCTCCATGATCGCAACCATTGTCACAACCTCAAACCCCTTGGCTAGTGTTAGCACTAGCTTCCTACTATTGGCACCGATTGTCTATTAACACATTCGTCACAACCATCCATGTGCGAATGTCCTGTACACCTTGGTGATGCAGCTTGTTCTAGGCTTAAGTCTACAACCCCTCAATGAAGTACTAAAGTTTGTCATCCTCATCCGTCCTCAGTAGCTTCAGCAGCAAGATCAAAAATTTCTCCATATATTTGCAGATGGATCTAGTGTGCTTCAGGTGACTCATTGCTATTCTCATTGCCTAGCTCGAGTTGACTAGATGAAACTGATCCTATATCTCCTTGACTAGCTCGTTTCAACAGGTCAAAGCTAGCCTCGACTAGTCCTCAAACCTCAGTTGCCAGCATGTCTTGACTTGCCCCACCAAGTGTAGACTGCCAATAGGTGAGAGCTGGCGGGGACTTTCTCCTGATGTGTTTGGAGGTTTGTGATCCAACTTTGAAGGCCGACCACTGCCTCCTCTAGCTGTCACTACAACTTGGCCACCTCTTCAACTAGTTCCTCCTATTAGGCTGAAATCCTGGTCTTCTGGGCTACGTATGACGTAGCCATCTCCCCAACTTCTTTGGGAAACTTTGATGTCTATTTCTCTAAGATATTTTCTGTTTAATCAAATTCCAAGCCGGGGGTGTAGGAATTTTAGAGAATTATTATTAAGCCGAGCTTTTGGGCTTACTATTAATGGGCTGATTGTAGCGTTTGCAATAATGACCGATGGTTTTAGAATATATATATATATATATACCCTTGCGCCTCGCAGCAGGAAGACTGTTCTCCCCCGCAGCAGCCTCTTCCACGACATGGCAACCTTGTTGCCCCTGCGAGTCCGAGTTCTTGTCGAGCTACTCTCACCCCTCTTCTCCCTAGCGCAGTTATGCCTGGGAAAGGGCAGAGGAGGCGGGAGAAGAACTACAGGCCGCCCACGGTAGCGACTCCCGCCTACTCCCCGCCCGACCCTCGCCCCGCCCTGCGGATGCTGTCCCCTCCCCCTTCCCCCGGTCTAGGTGCCTCCCCTTCTCTTTCTCTCTCTCTCATCACTCTATCTTTTCTGTTCTATTCGTCGATTTTTCAAACATTGTCGTTTCTCTTGACGTGGGTATAGAAACTTTTGAGGGCAGCAAAGACAGTCGGGATCGTCTGTATAAACGAGTCAACCGAGGCAACTCAGTAAGACTGACTCGATTTGCAGTCACTTGAGTGTTCACCTTAGTTGTAACCATCTTCCTATTGGCATTTCAATCGGGGTTTTATGGCGATTTGGATTCCGTCTTATTGTTTTGAGTTCATTTCTTAATTGAATGTTTACCCACAGTGGCCAGAACAATACTAGACGACGACTTTACTGCAAGTTTTTATGGGCATCACCTTGTAGGATACTTACACTGTGTCTCTCCCTGGGACCGGAAAATTATGTCTTAATATTGCCCTGATATATTTCTTTGAATTTGCAACAATATTACCCATAGATTCTTTCTTTCCACTTTCCAGGAAGATGGGTCCTCGATGATTTGGGGGGAAATAGTGGCTGTGGACATTCCCAATTCTTATGTCTCACTAGATAGACACTTACTGTTCGAGATGTGACCTAAATTTGAGTGGGTGTCTTGAGTATCAAATTTGGGTGGCTTCTGCTGCTGAAGTTTCTTGTAGCTCTCAGTATAAAAAGTTCATCAACATGTGATAAAATATGACTTGAATGGCATATCAGCACGAAATCCTTTTGAAGGGCGCGCTACCAGATGCTACAAACACAAAAAAAATTGCGAGTTTTGCTCCACGAGGAAAACGTGCCTATTTACCGTAATTGAATTTTTGTTTTGTTTTGATTCTTACTTTCATGTTGACCTCTGGTGGGGATTGCTTGGCCGTTCTTTCTTTGTCACATCCTATTTCCTCATTTTTGCTCTCTTGTTTCCAGATGTGTATATTTTCTCCTCCCATATTTCCAGTCCGTGTCACTTTTTCTTGTGTTCGTCATTGTCACAGATAATTGTTGGCTTTATATCATCCTCGTCCACTTGAGAAGAACTCATTTTCCAATAGTTTTGGGCTGTCCAGAGTTAGGGTTGCATCAATATTGGTTAAAGCATCAAGATATCATAGCGTTGATGGAATTTAAACTAGTTGACCAGATTGAGGAGACATCATTGAGAGAAAAAAGAAGATCCTGACGAAGTGGCAAATATGGGGTCACGTGATAAGATAACGTGAAAGCGAATAAAGAAAGGTGCTATGGACCTTCGATTTCAGGATCTAGAGCAAGCTGGTGGATATAGAAACAGAAGGGTAAGGGGTAAGTAAATATTTCATGTTGGAGATTTGATTTATCATCAGATAATGCCCATAAGATTCATTTAGATTATTGAATACTGAGAACACCTTGTAATCTCTGTGATATTGTCACGCAAGACATTGTTTTGGTCCGGTTAAATACTAAATTCATCAATCAAAGAACTCAGAAGTTGTTACTGTTTCTTCTTTAATTTTGAAGAAGCTTCCTTTGACACTTTAAAAATAATTTTAATATGGGTAATTCCTTTATTTATTATTTGGTATAGAAAGGGTGCAATGCATCTTATTTGGTAGAGAAAGTTGCATTAAATCTGATTGGGTTTTTTGTGAGTCATGCTATGTAGTAGCTCTTTATTTTCTTTTTTCTGGACGAATCATAAATATCAAAGCTAAAGAAAGCTCCTCGTTTTTCTGCGTCATTTACTCATCTCTTCTTTAGTAATTGATATTCTTGTTACTATAGAGGTACACTTGTTTGAAGATTAAGTAGGTTCTATATGTAAATTAATGAACGGCTTTTAAGAGCTATCTGTAAATAAGATGGACCTAGAGTCTTAGGTTTATTTTGAAAGATAGGCCTGTGCTGATAACCCAGGTAAATGAGCAACTTTTAAGGGGTTTCTATAAAACAAGGGGGACACGCTTCTTTTGTTCGTTTTGGAGGGTTGGCTCCCGCCCAGAATGTAGATAACTTGCTAGCAAATTAGTTTCATGCTTGGAAGGTTAAAATTTATAAAGCCGTTATGCCCTATTTTAGATGCCTTCAGTTGAGTACTTGCTGAATCTAAAATTTTGTGTTGCTTTCAAAACTTTCATGTTCTTTGATGTGGATTACTTGTTGGGAGGTAGAGTTCGCTTGCATTGTGGACTAAGGATGTTACCTCCTTGTTGTCTTTCTCATCGAAGTTCGTAACCTACAACTCGTACTCCTCTTCAAATCAAAATGGCCGATGTAATTATATGCATTTGGGGTACGTCAGGCATGGATCTCTTTTCCATCAAAATTATGTTATGCCGAGACATATTGAACAGGTACCTTAAAGCAAGAAAGATAAAAGACAAGAAAGCGCAGAACGGTGAACGTTCAGAGTTTGCTGACCATGAGCAAGCTAAATTTGGTTAAGTTGTCGATGCTCCACCGGAGCTATCATTTCCTAAGGTAAGAGCTACTACTTGCCCATGCAGTCTAATCTCCACGTGATCGTGGATTTGAAGGTTCTCTGCCATTTTTCCAGGGTTTATAGACTGCCCTTGATGCTTCGACTGAGAGGCGTCGTCTGCAGGCCATTGAGGCACAACAGAGTCAGAAAGGATGGGAACCAAGACTTGGCATCCATCTTCCTTTCATTTCCGAAGGGCATTCTGATTGACCCTTGGATGTTCTCCAACGAAACGCACTGAGGAACAACGGAGTCAGAAAGGATGGGAACCAAGACTTGGCATCCATCTTCCTTTCATTTCCGAAGTGCATTCTGATTGACCCTTGGATGTCCTTCACGTAAGGGTCGGTTCATCCCACCTTCTATAACTCAGGCGTCTTCCATCACTCTCCTTCACGTCGTCTCTTTCTTTCCACGTAATCTCCTTTTCGCCTCTAGTGTGCGTCTTCAGCTGCTGTTCAGCTCACCATACTGCCGTGTCACCGCCTCTCTTTCTCTCTATCTTCCGCTGCAGACTACCGTCCGAGAAGGGGTATCGACCCATTCTCCCACCTATCGTGATACCTGTACTCCCTCGGCTTATCCTTCCACTCAGGTTCCTATCACATTCTCAATAGTTCTTGGAATTTTCCAGGATGTCTGGGGGGACTAAATTTGTCCTCGTCCTTCTCTGATTCTCCATTCATCTTCGAGCAGGATCAGTGGGATCCATCCGGAGATTCTCCGTAGAAAGAGATGTTGGAACCCTCTCTTTCTGCGTTTGTAATGGATTTTGGCCCTCCGGAAGACGTTCCTATTGCGTGTAGTGACGGTATTTTCTTCCATAATACCCTACAAATAAGTTTTCTGCAAGAGTAATCACCTTCTTGCCTGCCTTCATGAAATCCCTACAGCTAGAAACCTAAGAAAATTATAAGGAAACAAACATCAGAATCTGGGATCTCGATTTCCAGATACAGATCAAAGTATTATAAAATTTTAAATATTTGTCTCAAGGAAATCGGTCGCTTTTAGAGGGGAAAAAAACCCTAAGAAGGCACTGTTCAAAGCTTCTGTGCGAGTAAAAACTAAAGAATCTTGTGTGTGAAGGAAAAAATGCAGTATCTTTGCATGCTCAAAACTATACCAGAGAATCTGATCGAGTAATATGGTTACCTAATTTGATCAATGGAATGTAGCTCATAATCTAAGTTCACAAACTTTTGTCAGCGTAATCACAATTACTGCCGTGAGTCTCTAGATATACACATGACTAAATGGTTGACTGGAATACAAGATACACAGAGCAGAGCTCACACAAACTCTGAACAAATAACAAGGATCAGGGTATATGATGGGTGGTCAACAATATGCTATCCATATGCTCTGAGTCCTTATTGAAGAAGTACCTTGAAAATATAGCGAACTATGGAGAGGAACAGATCAAAAGAAGAATTTTTGAGCTCATTGATTCTTCATTGAATGCTTTGAAACAAGGAGAGTTTTTTTCACTACATATCTCATGTATCTGGCATACAAAAGGATTTAGGCATACAACCACTGCGGATTGAAGGGGATGCGCCAAACCTGAGGTTCTAGTTTATGTTAGCAAGATCTTGATTGGAAAACACTGAATATGTGGCGTAAAAAGTTTTCTATTTGGAGAGAGTACCCTGATGAGATACATAAATCAGAAATTAACTGATAAGGAGGAAAAGAAGTCATCCAATATGGCTGTTTCGGGCTTTTTATTAATACTTCAATTATGTTATAAAGCAAGGGGTTAGTTAGCAAAGGGAGGGGCACATGCTTAATAGTTTGCCAGAACGCAAAAAATATATCCGCCAAATATCTCCAATGTCTGAATCAAGTCCACTATATACACATCTACCACAAAGATTTTTGATTAGGGGGAGAGATTTCGACATACCTTATGCTGAGGGGACAACGTAAAGAACTGAGACCCATGGAGAAAAAAATAATATATAATTTTAACATATCCGAAAATAAAATTTAAATATTACCCAGATGTGAATATTAAGCACATTTACATAATGATCAATATATAATATGATATAAAGCCGCACGGTAAATATTGCTGATTTAGAGAAAGATCTACAAAGTTGGAAAACGTAGAATGGAATAAGATGAAACTGAACAAACCCATAAATCTGACAGTTTGCACCAGTGTTTTGTGTGTTCCTCTCACCAAATTTTAATCAGTGGGGCTTTGTGGGAGTAAATACCCATTATGACCGAGAGAAAGTCGCTCTAGTGATCCGTACGACATAAGCAGGTGGGATGGGTTAACGCTTGATTTGCCTTGGGAAAGCTCGCAGGCATAGCCCCTGCATCTGGAGCGTGAGCATGGTTTGGTAGCCGACGTCCTTCCCATCGTCGGTCATCTCGAATGCAAAGAACTGGAGGAGGACGGCCGCGAAGATCTTCATCTGGCGATACGCAAACTCCCTCTCGAGACAAACTCGGGGACCCACCTGGTGGACATGAAAGGGCTCTCATGGCGGAGACTACCTTGAGTGAAACATCAAAATGGAAGGAGCAGGAGGATGGGGAGACTAACATGACTTAGTCGTTGTATAGTAA